TTTAGGGGTCAAAACATTTTTAAGGAGATATAATTTTAAGATGTTGGCTTTAAAAATCCATAATTAGATGTGGGCCAAACACTTTGTGCATCAAATTCATGCGTGGTAGAGGATTTTTTTTTAATCTTGAAGACCCTTCGGTGTCCTGCAACATAATTTTCTCTTATATAAAAAAACAATTACAAATATGTAATTATTAATATTCTATGGTATGCAATAAAAAAATTCTTACATTTTTCCGATCTCGCCACCATTGTGGATCCATGAGTATTCTTCCTGTACCAGGTTCAATGGAAACACCAGTACGTGGAACAAGCCTTTTATATATCACGTACAAGGCTCTAAAGACATCGTGTTTACTCTTACATTTATCCCAATCAATTATAAATCATGTTTTTTCACGAATCTTTTTGATAATATTTCTTTTGCCGTCTCTTTGTGGCACTGTCGAAGAATAATTTATTTTTTGTACTTCTTCTTCTAATAATTCAATGAATAGAGAATTCAACATTGGCGACCATCTAGAAAATTCCTACAATTTATATTTCACAACTCACAATAATTAAATTTATTTATGTAGTATAGTTCTTGTATAGCTAAACTTTTGAAATATAAATTTACCATATTTTTTTTGTTTGATGTTCCACCATCCAGATCTCCCGCACCGCTCATTATTGTAGCTCTGCTAAACAACAATTAAAAAACATATTAGTTATATGTAATTTTTTAAAAACAATCGATAATATTTACACACTATATACATATTTAATAATGCATAAATTCAAATATAAATACTTATGTTCAATTCTTAAGAAAAAATGATTACGTATAGTTTTTAGAAATTTATTTGAAAAAAATCAATTCTTTTATATAATGCAACTAATTTTTTTTTTAAAATTGATAACTAAAATTTTTAATCATAAATAATTATAACAATATTCCTGATTTTCAATTTAAAGGTATTTTAAAAAAATACTTAACAAAATATATAACTCAATTAAGTTATCTTATTTGTGAATAAATATTGTAGTATGAAAACACATTCTTATAAATATTAAATGATGATAATGTAAACTCACTTGATTATTCTCTATGTTTTGATAAGTTAGAAAATAGTGAATATTTTTTTTTTCAAATAACAAAAAGCCTCTCAATTTTTTTTTTCTCTTCACCGGAATATGAATAAGCTTGTTTCATTGAATGAGAATTTATAGTCAAATTTTGATACATCCGTGAATTTTTTTTAAACTGTGTAACTTGTCTTTTTGTTGTTCACGTGAAGAAAAAACAATAATTCGTATTCAATTATGTAATTTTTGTCAGACAAGTGTCGTCTAAAGAGACACAAATAAATCATCTTTCTTTTCTTTATTTTCTTCTAATTCTTCAAATTCTTCATTTTCTTCATCTCTAACTGGTAACAACATTATTCATAATTTTTGTATTCTTCATTTTCTTCAAATTATGTTGTTAAGAGAGAGATTTGGTTTTCAGTTTCACACATCACCGTAAAATGAAAATTCCACTAAAAAGTAACTTTTTAACTGCCGACAAGTATAGTAACTTTTTAAACTAGAGGCAAGGTAATAAAGAATTATTTATACAGTGTTTAGCCAGAAATTATAGTATACATGAAGGCGAGTAAAAGATTCCACATATTGATAAGGGATCTCTAATGATAAATTTATTATATTAACATCAATCCATATATACCATTGTTTATCAGTCACTTTAAGCAG